ACTTCCAACACAGATTTGTTGCCCATAGAATCCATCAATATTACATGCTGAGCCTTGAATTTTTTATTCAATTCTTTCAGAATGAGAAATGCTAAGCATGTTCTTCCCTTTTTGTTTCTATTTCCAGGTCTTTGCACATTTCATTATAAGACATGATTTTGTATTCTCAAGCTGCCATTTGAAAATTTCTTTTCAACTCTTCTACCTACTCATTTCTTCTATTTGCTTTAGCATCTCTTAGCTGGAGAGCAAATTGCAGAGTCTTTTCTGATATCCATTTTGGCCTTGTCCTTCTTTCTTGTCTTCTTTATGATCATTTGCTTTATTCCTGTATGATGTTCTTGATGTCACCCCACAACTCTTTGGTCTTGGGTCATTTGTGTCTAATGCATCAAATTTGTTATTGAGATGATCTCTAAGTTCAGGTGGAATAGGTTGAAGGTCATATTTTGGCTCACATGCTCTTGTTTTAATTTTCTTCAGCTTCAGCCTAACGCACATATGAGCAATTGATGGTCTGTTACACAGTCTGCCCCTCACCTTGTTTTGGCTGATCATGTAAAGCTTTCCCACCATCTCTTCACACAGATGTAATCAATTTGATTCCTTTGTATTAAATCTGGTGAGGTGCATGTGTATAGTCATGTTTTATGTTACTTAAAAATGGTATTTGCAATGAAGAAATCATTGGTTTTAAAAAGATCTATCGTGTGATCTCCAGCATCATTTCTATCACTAAGGTCATATTTTCCAACTACTGATACTTCCTCTTTGTTTTCAACCTTTACATTCCAATCACCAATAATTATCAATGTATCTTGATTGCATGGTTGATCAATTTTAGAATAAAAAATTTGGTAGAACTCTTCACTATCATCATCACTGACTTTAATGGTTGGGCATAAATTTGATAATGGTGTTACTAACTGGTCTTCCTTATAGGTGTATGGATATTATCCTATCATAGACAGCATTATATTTCAAGAGAGATCTTGAAATGTTCTTTTTGGTGGTGAATTCCACACCATTACTTGTCAATTTGTCATTTCCAGCCTCATAAACCATATGATTGTCAGATTCAAAATGGCCAATACCAGTCCATTCAGCTCAGTATTGCCTAGGATATCCATCTTTATGCATTATATTGCACGTTTAACTGCTTCCAATTATTATTATCCATGGGTGTTTATAGGTGTTTCTCTTCATGTTAAGTTGTGTCCCATCAGTAAATGACGGTCCTAAAAGTTTTTCTCTATTTGCATCATCATGGTCAACTCTACTCTGAGGAGGCAATTCTCCCCAGTCATATTTTGAGTGCCTTCCAACCTGAGAGGCTTATCTTCTGGCACTGTATCTTACAATAGTCTGTCGCTATTCATAATAATTCAGATTCAATAGTCTGGTGTTATCTGACAGTGCTCCACTGCTGTTCATAAGGTTTTCATTGGTTAAACATTCAAAATAGTCTGAATGCATCTCCTTCTTCCTAGTCTATCTTAATCTAGAAGCTCAGCTGAAACCTGTCCACCATGGGTGACCCTGCTGGTATTTAAAATACCAGTGGCATAGCTTCCAGAATCACAGTAAAACAAAACCCATCACAGGAGGACAAACTGACAGAGTGATGGTTGATGTTTTTAGTTGCCATCAAGTCGAATCCAACTCATGGGGACCCTATACACAGACTAGAGCCACTTCATTTAACCATGTTGATAATATACATGCTTTTATTCATTTTAGTAAACGCATAGTAGCCCATTGATAGAATATTATTAGTGTTTATTCATTGCTGTTTTCATTAATATTAAATTATTTTCACTTTTCTATAACATACACTGTACTGCAAGGCCATCCTTTATGTCATTACAAATGAATAAGAGAGGCAAGGCAAACGCAACAGAGAATTGCTGGACCACTGAGCATCTACATCTTCAACTCTAATAGTTATTGAAAAGCTTCTCTCCAAAGTGATTTGATCTATTTACACTCTTGCCAATAATATGCAATGCTTCCCACTTTCTTATCCATATTGGAAAAGAAGTAAGATATCAGTATTCATGGATGATATGATCTAATATATAGAAAGCCCCAAAAGGTTCACAAGAAAACTTCTGGAGCTAATAGAGGAATTAGCAAAATTGCTGGGTAGAAGGTCAATGACAGAAGAAATCAGTTGGTTTTCTATATATCAGCAGTGAGAAAGTTAAAAAGGAAATTAGGGAAACGATTCCACTTACAATTGTATCTAAGAAAATCACATACCTAGGAATAAATCTAACCAAGATTGTCAAGGAATTCTGCAATAAAAACTATAAAACACTGCTGAAAGAGATCAAGGAGGACTTAAATAAACGGAAAGATGTTCCATGTTTATGGGTTGGAACACTTACTATTGTTAAGAAGTCAGTATTTCCCAAAGCAATTTTTAGCTTCAACACAATCCTGATCAAAATTCTAACAGCCTTCTTGTACAGGAAGAACCCATCCTCAGTTTTATAGGCACTGGCAAGAGTCCCAGATAGCTAAAGCAATGTTGAAAGAGAGCCACCATGTTCTGCTTTGTGTTTCATAATCATTTTTAATTCAAGAACTTAAATAAGAAAAACCTATGCTACATATAACAAAATACTGAACATGAGATTTACGAGATTATCTACTAGATTTTTTCTTCTTCTTTTTTTCTTTTCTTTTTTTCTTTTCTTTTTTTTCAGCATTTTACTCTAAAGAGAAAACACATTTACTGGGACAATCCATTGGGTATGTTTGCCTGAACTAACCTCCAACTCATGAAATATTTCAAAAAAGACTTGACTCGGTTAAACATTTGTTGTTGTTGTTAAGAGCTGTCGAGTCAGGTCTGACCCATAGTGACCCTGTATAGGGTTTCCGAGGAGTGGTTGGTAAGTTTGAACCACCGACACTGTGGTTCAAACCAAATTTGCAGCATGGTGCATTAACCCACAGTGCCACACCAGGATTCCTGTTGCCAACTAATTAATACCCATAGTGATTTAGCATTTTGTGTCAAGGATCCCTGACAGCACAGGGCTTGGCTGCTAACCACAAGATTGGAGGTTTGAACCCACCAGTTGCTCCACAGGAAACAAAAATGTGGCCGCCTGCTCCGTAGTAAGTATAGGCTGAGAACGTTGTGGGACGCTTCTGCCCTGTCCTCCAGAGTCCCTGTGAGTCAGGATTGACTTGACGGCTGAGTTTGGTTTGGGTAAGGAGTGTGTGTGTGTGTGTATCTACTCGTGAACAACACAATGAAGAGTGATCTACAAGGGGAAAGGCCTCCCTGGTCTTCAATGAAGCCATTCACATTTTATGGTGTCTAAACTTCAAAACGAAGCTGTTCAAAAAGCTCTTTAATGGTGGCAGTAGAGAACTTCCTTAGATGACAAGTTTGGTTCATAAAATGAAGGTGCATCTAGCCAGCAGGACATAAAAAGAGCTTTTTGAAAACCACAGCCCAGCTGTTGTTGTTAAGCGCCATTGAGTCTATTCTAACCAATAGTGACCCTGTATAGGGTTTCTGAGGAGAAGCTGGTAAACTTGAACTACTGACCTTGAAATTCAAAGCAACTTTGCAGTCCAGTGCCTTAACCTGCAACACCACACCAGTCCAGTTGTTGTTGTGTGCTGTGGAGTCAGTTCCAACTCCTAGCAACCCTGCACAGGGTTTCTGAGGCTGTAAATCTTTACTGGAGCAGAAAGCCTCCTCTTTCTCCCGCGGAACAACTGGTAGTTTAGAACTGCTGACCATGAGGTTAGCAGCCCGATTCATAACCACTACGCTACCAGAGCTCCCAGTAGCAGAATGCAAATGATTTTAAAACACCTAGCTGATGTTTCCTTTGACACCCTCAGAGAATGAACCAGTTTGCGAACACTTGGCTAACTGAACATCCTCACACAGCTTGGCAAGTCTAGAACGTTGGGAGAAAGTAGAAATGGTACCATCCCAACTACAATGGCCCAGGGAATAATTCTCCCTTCGGTCAGTCGAAGAAGCTTAAGGACAAATTCAGTTACATATTTTAGGCCCAGTCCATCTCTCTCTTCTGCTAGGTTGATTTAAAAAGACAAGCCCATTGTCATCTGGTCAGTTGACTCATGAAGACCCCATGTTACAGAGTGGAACTGCTCCTTCAGGTTTTCTTGGCTGTAATCTACTACAGGCCAATCAGCAGGCATTTCTTCCTTCATGTCACTGCGTAGGTTTGAACTGCCAGTGTTTGGGTTAGTAGTCAAAAGCAAGCCATTTGCGTCACCCTCTAGGTTGATAAACCTACTGCCATCAAGTCAATTCTGACTTACAGCGGATCTATAAGGACAGAGTAGATCAGCCCCAGAAGATTCCCAAGGCTGTCATCTTTATGAAAGCAGACTGCCACAACTTTGTCCCATGCTGCCTCTGGTGGATTCAAACCATCCACCTTTTGCTTCACAGATGAACACTTGGACCCTTGCAGACCAGGGTTGCTTTCTAGGTTAATAGTTCATAGGAATCATCCATTCTTATTGCTTGATACAAAGGTCTGCCTGTCTTTTTATTAGTTCTACATATTCTACAAAAAGAAAGAGAAAATAAAATCGAATTCGGATTTAAATCAGGTAAAATATCAGAAAGCTGAATAAAAAATAAAATCTGTACTAGGCAAAAGCCAACGTACAATTTTTATTTTGATTAGCATTGCTCTCCTGCAGGTCACAGAAACAGTGTGAGCCTCAGCTCCCAGATCTTTAAAATGGGAACAAGGGCATTTTATACGATTGTTAAAGGAAGGAATGATTTGTACACATCGTAATCAAACAATGTTTCTTTTCATTATTTTGACCAACAAAAGGAAAGAATCAATCCTGGGTGCTGAGTCATATCCACAGCATGAATTCTCCATCATCTTTACAGCTGATTTAGGACCGGTTAACACTGAAAGGGCTGGATTTAGGCTCACTTGCATCCTGTGCTTAATGTCTTCTCTCTTGCCTTCCTGCAGCCAGCTCCTCCCTGAAGAAACGATTCAAGCGACGGGAGATCGAAGCCATCCAGTGCGAGGTGAGGAAGATGTGCAACTACACCAAGATTCTGTCCACCAAGAAGAACCTGGACCACGTGAACAAGATCCTGAAGGCCAAGCGGCTGCAGAGACAATCAAAGACAGGCAACAACTTCGTCAAGAAGAGGAGAGGGCGTCCCCGGAAGCAGCCCAGTCAGTTCGATGAGGACTCCAGAGACCAAATGCCGGTGCTGGAAAAATGCATCGACCTCCCCAGCAAAAGGGGTCAGAAGCCCACTCTGAGCCCGCTGGTGTTGGAGCCAGCCGCTAGCCAAGACACCATCATGGCCACCATCGAAGCGGTCATCCACATGGCCCGAGAGGCCCCACCACTGCCCCCTCCGCTGCCTCCACCACTCCCGCCGC